GTAGTGTTTTTCTGTTATTTCCACATGTCGCACATTCAAATAAAAATGAAATTCTGTCTCTGACTCTGTTTCAGCTGCAGACATTTTTAACATCTCCCTCTCTTGATTTCAAAGAATGAACTAAATTTCGATATATTCTCCCCTCATTAGAGAGACATGTCCTTCTCTCTTCTCTTTCCCTTCAGTCCTGCTTTATTATCGTCTGTCCTTAAGCTCCATTGTATCCTTTTCTCTCGCTCCCTTTTCTCTCTCCACCTCTCCTTTCACAATGCAAAACCAGAGAAACAGACAGAAAGTAAATAAAAATGAGGGAGGAAAAAAACAGGTTTGATGGAAAAAAGAAAAGAAGAAAGTGACGACTATGAAGAGAAAGACCAGGATGGAGGAGTGAGAAGGATGGAAAGATAAAGAATAAAAGGTGAAGGGCAGACAAAAAGAAAGATGGAGGATTGTTTTCCTTGTAGACATCGTAAACACTCTTCACATTTCTCGTGTCAACAGCGTGCGCGGCCGCCTTTCGTTCCAAGGTGTTTCACATAAAAACGAAGCGACGACGTCTGTGGGCAGATTCCGGCAGTCTACTCCTCTCACTGCAACGTATATCAAACGCACCCTTTTGATTAGGCCGGTGCACTTATGCTGTCATGCTGCTGTCACTGCTGCTGTTCATACAGCATTTCAAAATGTCCACCTCCACACCAGCAGCCACCTGTATGCTCTGAGCCGGTGGAGGAACCAGCGCTCAACAGTCAGATAATAATCTATTCCATGTGAGCTAGCTGGCATTTTTGTCTATTATTGTGGCCTAAAACTCTTCTTCCTGTTTTATAAGGCTATAACTTGGATCTTTCATTGTTTTGCTCATCATCATTCAGTTTTGATAACACTGGACTCGAGGGTTCCTGGAAAGAACAATGCAATGTGATTCTAGTTATAGTGAAGGGATGCATTGTTCAGTGTGTTGATCAGTTTCAGTTATTTGCTAATATAGAGGCTTTTAATCAGAGTACAGCAGGTTAGCTGAACATGCAAATATATAAAATTTGTCTCCAGGCAGGCAAATCATTTCATATATATGGAAAATAAGGTTTCAAAATGGATAATAAATTAATATTTACTTGGGTTTAGATTTAGATCTTTCCCCTCTGGATATCAGCTGCTGATTAAATCAACATGACTATCTAAACTCTCGATATTAACTGTCTCAGATCAGCCTGCTCTCACTAGTCAACAAATATGGCAGTCTGGTCTGTGGCACTGCGCTTAGGATGCTGTAGGTACCACTCCAAGAGTCATTTCTGGACGCACCCAACTAGTGTAATGTTCTGATGAGCCGTTGTAGTCAGGTATTAAGAGCAAGAAAGTCAGCATATGGAGGAGGCTGGGGTGGATAATGGGTCAAACAAACACAGGACTTTCACCCTGAGACTGCTGTTTGTGTCAAAAGCCAAACTTCTCTTCAACTTATGTCACCTAAGTTGCTTTAAGTACTTATTTGAACCCAAACCCTGATCTTTTCCGAAAGCTAACCAAGTCGTTTTTGGGCCTAACCAAACTGCAACCATTCAAACTAATAAAATCTGATCTCAGCAAACTTTATTTTGAAAAGTCTAAGCAGATGTTGTATATTAATTGTCGCTAACTTGACAGCGGAGCCCTGTACGTGCAAAAGAGGGTCCTTGTGTGAAGTGTAGGGCCACTGACAACAGGGAGTGAGTGTGTGTGGCTCAGATCACTAGTTTCCCTTCAGGGTCTTAGAAAGTCTAAATAATCTGAATTTTAGGCCTTAAAATGTCTTAAAAAGTCTTAAATATGATTTTCCCAGGTTTTAAAAAAATTGATTGGATTAATAGGTTAACATTAATTGTATAAAGTTGTATTTTTGTGAAAACATTTGTATTAATCACACTGTAACAACAACAAAACAAAACCGACATGATCAATTATTGATTTTCCTTCATATCCTGCATAACTTTTTTGCCAGTATTGATGTGAAATAGGTCTTAAATTGCATTCATAACGCAGAAACACTGTGTACAAAATTACACAATTCTAGGAAAAAAATCCTAGACAGTTGATTTGTATTGTCACTGCAGTGGCAGACATTTTCTCTTGTTGAGATATGAAAACCAAACAGCGACAGCCAATGGACGGAGGAGAGTAAAGGAGAAACCCTGGGCTCCACTCACCTGTGTTGTAGTGCTTGGTGCAGTGGCGCAGGTCCTTCTCCTCTTTGAGTAAGAACTGAGGTAGCGTCAGGCCGTCAGCCACCTGCACGGCTCCCTTCTCATCCCACTCGAATATGAGGTCATTCATGGTGTAGCCGACTGCAAGAGGGAGAGCAGGAGGTGAGGCCGTGTTCATTATTGTGTGGGTCATTTATTTCATTCTTCCTCCCCTGAGGAGGACGATGATCTTTCTGTTTCTGGTCGGGGTGCAGGGTCACCCAGTGTGATGTCCACCCCCTGCAGGATTGGTTCACCACCCTGTTATGTGTTGATCCACAGCTCTCTAACTATTCAAAGGGAACGTGGCCCTTTATATAATCATCAGTAAAATGTATGTAAGCAGAGTAACTTTAAAATAATAAAAGATAGAACAATAAAAAGATGATAATTTGTCTATAAGGTGTCATTCTCAGTTGGAGAAGCAAAGGGAGGAAATAAGGAAATAAGCAAGAAAGAAATGGAGGAGAAAGAGAAAGAATGTAGGAAAATATTAGGGACTGAAGGCAAGAAATAGGGAATAGAAAGGATGGAAGAAAGGGAGAAAAAAGAAGTAAAGAGACAAAAGAAATGATGGACAAATCGAAGTGAAGAAGGCATAAAGAAGTTAGGAAGTATATAAAGGAGGAAAGATAAAATAAAGTAAAGGCAGCAGGAAGAAAAAATAGAATAAAGTATGTAGTATGTATGAGAGAAAGAATAGAAATGACGTGAGAGGGAAGGATAGCAGGAAAGCAAATAGGAAAGAAAGATATTAATGATGATTTATGAGCAGATCTCATGTTGAATAAATCTGAATCTGCAAAATAAAACTCCACCTGTCAGATGAATGTAATTAAGTTTTCCCTGAAATCTAGTAGAAGAAAAGTGGAAAGACTCAATTACGTACCTCAAAACTATAATTAAGTCCAACACCTACATTAAGTGACAGTTAAGGAGGATTTATAGTTGTGCATTGATGAAGTTATGGGTTACACTGAAGGCTCTATGGACTGCATTCTGTCTGCAATAACAGGTGTTAGATGAATAACAGCAGACTCAGATTTACTCATTTCGTGGTTGTGCAAATGTCTATGGGGCTATGACCTGTGTTGGAAAGTAACTATTTACTCAAGTAGTGTATTTTTTGGAGGTATTTGTACTTACATTTTTCAATTTGATCCTACTTTATATTTCTTACTCCACTACAGTTGTTTGACGGCTTTAGTCACTAGTTACTTTGCAGATTCAGATAAATACAAAATATAAATCAACCAATAAGTGATGATGTGTTATTAGAGATTCACCTACCCAGCAGTATATATACAGTAACAATAGCTCCACTTCTACCAGCTGCAACATTAACGTGATGACCATTCTTTAAATTTTGAATGCTTGTAACATAGAATTCTCCCACTGTATAATTACTACTATTACCTAAGTGAAAGATATGACTACTTCTTCCAACATGGACTATGAGAGACCCCGGGGCAGACCGCTGCTTTGAGAACATTTCACAAAAGGGAAAATCACATTTTGACTGCAACAATATTAATTGTAAGGTTAAAAATGTGAATGTCACTGAGTCAGACACTGACATTATGAAGCTTTTCAGTGTCTGTCGCTTCCTTTAAAATCAGAACTGACACCAAATATCAGTGTGGTACCAGTGAGCGTTGTATTGTTCTTTCTTTTATGATGTCTGACCCTTTGTAGACGTACAGAACTCTTTGAACTTAAGCACTTTCTGTGATTCCTCTCACGTCTGTTCAAAGAATGAAAAGGCCACAGAGAAATCTATATCATATCTCTCACCCTGCCAGCTGCTCGGTGACTGATCGACTGATGCTCTGCCTGTACCCCTGTGTGTGTGTGTGTGTGTGTGTGTGTGTGTGTGTGTGTGTATGTGTGTGTGTAATTACTCACAGCTCTCCAGTTGCATGATGCAGGTCTGGACGTCCATAGGGAAGTTCTTCAGATCCATGGGACAGGCCAGGATCAGTGTTATTCTGCAAACACACACACACACACACACACACACACACACACACACACAGAAACACACACATGCAGCATCACTTAGTACTAAGAGGATTATCCCGAGCTTTATCAGTGTTGCTCAACCAGCCAGCGCCAGGCCACCGAACTGAACAGAGACACATCAGGACGTGTTTGAAATTGATTAAAATGAATTTAGTTCTCTTTTGGTTTTGGCCGTTGTCATCCAGGCTGACTTGTAATATGTTCAACAATAGCTTCCTTTAATCAATTACTGGCATTGCTAGCAGCAATGTACATTATATAAACATTTAATTTCATGCTCACATAAAAAGCGTTACAGAAGATAAAAGCGGCTCTTGTTATGGCATTTTATACAACTTTTCTGATGCTTTTAAAGGACAAACTTTAGGTTAAATCAGGTGATCCAACCAAATAAGTACTTGGTGTGTACTAAATTCCTCTCTGCCATATAGAGCTCCATTGTTGTCCAAAAGTTTGAACATGAACACACACACACTATAGTTTATTTTGACTCACTACTTCCTATCTTAAGTTAAGATAATCTTCTTATTATAAAAGCAATTCCACCTATGTCAGACCTTGTATCTTATCTTAACTTAAAGATCCCCTCCAGCTACATATTAAGACATAGAGTATATACAAATACTCTGCTTGGAACAATAATGCATGTATTTTTCTGCATTAAGTATAATTTCAACATTAAAATCCTTAAAAAGGCATCTACTTCTTCTACCTCATTAAAAGAATTCAGAATCTATGAAAATGCAAACTTTGTTTTCCTGCTGGACACAAAATGTCTCCATTCTCAGTGTATGTGCACTTCATGTTACATCACACTTGTATCAGTTCATTGTCATCAGTGGTGCTCCCATTTGTGGCATTTATTTAGAATTTAGGACAGTGTCTAATTTAATTTAAGATTCCAAACTTTTGTAAATTCTTCTGATATATTCCTACAAGATGCACTCAGAAAACATGTTGCTGTTAAATCTAATATCCTAAATGTCATCCTGAACAGAGATAACTTAGGATTTTGGACTTAATGAGGCCCCTGATTACCCTAAATACTGAACCAAATGTGGATTAATTCGCTGCTGAAAATAGTCCACAAGACATGCACTATTCATTCCTATTTTCCTGTTAAAAACTACAGTGACCAGCTTAATTAATGGATATTATTAACCTCTATAGGAACCAGTGGGCTTGGGGCTGATTGACACAAACCGGGAAGGGGGAGTCGTAACGTACTGAGGGAAGGCTTCTCGTTGGATAATAACAATAACAACATCAACAAGAATAACAAAGACACAGAACATTGCCAATCTCGTCCTTTAATCATTTAATCAAAAAGATAATCAATATAAATTGGTTGCAGCCTGAAAAGGAGATGGATTCTTTTGAGTAACTTCCCCCACATAGATTATTATAATTGGGAAACCTGAAGAAAATGCCAACAGGAATTAGAGGTCACTGCAAACCTCAGCACGTCTTCTTCTCTGCTGGAGGACTAACAGGATGAAAACCTGTAGCTGAGCAGGCGTGCAGCAACATGGGAATGAATCTTGTTTCATGCAAGGCTGATCCGTGAAACTCCGAAAATTAAAATGTTGGGGGCAGCCGGTCCCGTGTCGTGGTGACACATTCGTTTTCTGAGTCTCAGGCGCAAAAATTAATTACTGCTGTCACATGGAGGGAATGTATCTCTGCAGAAGTCAACGTTTCCCAGAAATTAATGGAAAAAAGCTATTTTATAACTGATATGATGCATTACTGAAATTAAAGACTTTCATTTTGAAATGAGATATTTGAAAAATGAATCCCATTCTCAGACATTATTACTGCTTCACTCTACCCATTAGACCTCAATATTTACTGGTATAAAATGAATTGCATTTTTGGAGTTATGGAAGAAGATGTAACCATCTGTGTTTTCAAAATACCAAAACCAATTACAGAGAATTATTCTCAATATCAATTATTATATTAATTTTCAGTTACTCAATTCATTGTGTAATCTGTAAAACGTCAACACAAAACAGAAAAGAAAACAGCAAATCTAGTTTTATGTCTGCTAATCTGTGAATTTTTTAGTTTCAACTGAAAATTTGCCCAGTTGTAGCATGAATTATGGAACTCAACTTTTGAGCAAGCTTTTAAACATGGATGGTAAGTCCTTAAAGTGCTCAAGTTTTAAAGTTTAAACATCTACGAAATCTGTCTGCTGATGAAGACCATGTGATAGTGAATGGATCTGGCGGAGCGATTGTTTTCCTAACTGTTTTTTCCGATGTTATGAATGAACTTTTAACCTCAATATGACCAAATTTTCTTTATTGTCCATCTTAAACACACATTTTATAACGGCTAACAGCCATGCAATCTGATTGGTGGAAGGCGTTGCTGCTGATTCCCATACAGCTCTAATTCCAGCACTGTATGTTGCTTTGATATGCTTAGGTTTATGCTGTGGTAATCAGGGAGCTTGTTATCTGTCATATACCAGTGAAAACCACCTTCTATCTAACTAAATGCTATAGTCCATTGTGTTAATTTCACTAAGAAACCCTAAAAAAACAAAACAACTCCAGCTCTAGTTTAATTTCTGCAGAGTTGGAGCTGTCGACAGCTTGTCGTGATGTGCAGGAGGTGATTTCGCTGCACACACTCAGTCCTTCTGTTCTGCTCTAACAGGACACTGCCGCTACAACACACACGTCCAGTCCAGCCTGATGTACCAAATAAACTTTGCTTCGTCTGCACATTGTTATAAGTCCCTGACAGGATGCTGAATATGTATTACACACACGATGTGGCCTCTACAGATGTCCCACTTTCTCAGAGAGAGGATTCAGCTCTGTGGTTTTCTGTCTGCCGCATCGTGACACCTAAATGCCAAATGCTGACAAAGTTAGTGCCTTGCTTGATACTCTTACCAGATAACCAGGAAGTAAACCTGGAAGCTAGACATTTTTTTAGACATTTATCCCAGGCAAGCAACTGTCATTGGATTGAACAGGCATCATGGCGTATCTACGGCGAGTTGTGAACTACATCTGGAGCCTTAATTTGTTTGACTATACAGCATTCATTCTGGCAAACTGTCACCATTAAAAGTATGCTGAATTAGCTTGTAACAGCTCCTGTCTGTGCTGTAAGGATGCAGAACTATCACTGGATTATTTTGATACTGAAAATCTCAGGCAAAGTTCAAATTATTTTTTTTTGTTTGATTTCTAAGAAGATTTATGGAGGTTTATTTGTGATCGACATAAATGAGAAAGAGTATGAATTGTGATGCAAATGATGTAAACCAGACTGCTAAGTGGTGTTTCAACATGGCAGACTGTAGAAGAGAAACCGCTCCCACTATAGATACATTTTATACCCTGGAACTTTATTTATCCTAAAATAAGGTATCATGGCGCAAACTTTTCTTTTCCAAAATGCATGATGCATTTTGTCATCTGATTTTTTAAATCAAAGAAACGTACATTTTCCTTTTGATAAAGTGCCCTACATGCACAAATGGGACCACATATCATTTCAGAGCATTTTGTTTTGAAGTACAGCCGGAGATTGGACTACATATGCATCTGGTCGTCCAATCTCAGAAAGTTTACTTTCATCTTGGAGGAGACACGGCCATCGGTCCTCGTACTGCTCTACTGTTGAGCGATAAACATCAAAAAACAGAGTAAACAACATTTGCAAGATCCACTTTCTCCCCCCCGCCCCCCCTCCCCCAGGGCAGTTTAATATCCCGAGCTGCCTCGTCGCCTCCAAGATCAAGCTGATCAACGGAGGGTTCATTCTGATGGTGTCAAGTTAAAAAATGAAAGCGACAGAGGGGGAGCGCAGGGGTTCATCCCTTTTCTGACGATATTTATAAAGGGCCAATCTCACTCCTCCTCCTGTTGGACATGAAGGTGAAAACTGAGGTTGATAACGGATCAGGCTTGCTGCTGGAATACTAACAGGCTGAGTAGATTACCATGGCTGCTGCAGCGCTTTCTCATTCGGCCCTGAGCAGAGGCAATAAAAGTGATGAAGAGGAGGAGGAGGAGGAGACACCGGCAGGCTAAAAGGTTTGTCGGCGGAAGGCGGCTGTAACTCTGACAGCCTTGAATGGGATGTCTTGGAGATACAAAGAAAAGAAGGGAGGAAGTAGAGCTCTGGAGGAAATAAAAACCTCCAACTTTGACGCAATAACAGCACGCCAAAGCAGAGGATGAAGGCCTCTGCAATGCAATAAACAGGAAGTCAGTCGCTTTCTCTCTTCTATCAGGGTTTTATAACTGATTGTTATAATATAACCTCCAAACCCATAACCCATTCTCCTTCCTGTTCTGCAATGACTCAGAACTTTACAGCTATATGTCTTTTAAATGATCACTGAACAGTTATATTATACATATATACACATACATATGTACATGTGTTTTTTATTCAAGGTAATTCTATTATTGCACTTGAATTAGTCTTTGTATGAGAAGGAGACGCTGCAAATTCAATCAAGCACATGTTTCACGGGATTTTCTGCACATGCCGGAAGGTATTATCTCTAAAATGTGAAATTACTTTTTAGGAAAGAGAAACAGATTTTTGTGGTTACATGTTATGCATTTGAAATAAATAGAGAAGTAAAGTTAGAGGAGTAATTATAGGTATCTATAGGGTTACAGAAGTGTCCTACATTTTCTCACAGGCAATTTTAGGATAACTTCAGGGATTGGAGGGAAACAATTGTGTTAGATTATAGCTGGTTCTTTTTTATTAAAAAGTCAAAGGTAAGAGCTTGAGGACATCAAAAAATGAAGAAACAGAAATCAGTTATTACCCCCGAGGTCAATCTTGAGTAAATTGCTAATGGTGAGCTAAATATAAACACATGTAGAAACCTGATTTCACTGCTGCTCAAATATATGACTTCTTCATAGCAACGTTCGCAGAGCTTCATGGCAATCAAAGTATTTAGAGCCATCCATCATAGAAAAGTGACAGAAAACAAGAGCTAAATGCTAACGTCAGCATGCTAACATGCTCCCAATGACAAAGCTAAAATGCTGATGTGAAGCAGGTGCAATGTTTACCATATTTATCATTTCGGTTTAGTGTGTTAGCATGCTAATATTTGCTAATTGCCACTTAACACAATGTACAGCTGAGGCTGATGGGAATGTGATACGTTTAGCAGGTATTTGCTCAGAACCGCATTGGACGAATAAACATTGGTAACCTGATGACGGCGCTAAATGAAAAGTCAGGGGATCTTCTAAACGAGTGGAGTGAAAGCGGTGGACTAACCGACTGTTAGCATGGTGATTCGTCAGATAGAAAGTTGAAATAATTATACCTTATGGCCAAAATGTAAACCTATACTAATGTTAAATTATCCAGGAGACTGTTGAGGAACATTGATTGCCCTGCACTTAAACATTTTCAACCCTGATTAGAATATCTTTCTTGTTCTATGAAGCTGTGTTCTTTGTCGTACTTTTCTAAACAGTACCAACAAGGAGGTATTGGAGTATATAAATATTATACGTCAACATTTGTGTATAGTTAACCGAGTGAGATGATGCAGAACTCAGTCTTTTTTCACAGTTGGAATCTAAAACCTCACACTTCCTCCACTTACCGTATGCTGTAGAGCACGTTGCCGTTTTTAGAGATGCGCAGCAGCTTGTTGTCGGTGGTGACCTCGTGGAAGTTGGCCCCCTTCTCGTTGGCAAAGAACAAGTCAGGTTTCCAGATGGAGTCCAACATAGAGGGGTCGAGGTCCAGCGAGTCATCGGGGTACTCGCTGTAGGCCAGCCGAGGGTCGTTCCACTGCTGTCGCAAGAAGATGTTCACTCTGTAGTCCTGAGAGGAGACAGAAAGGACAAACGATACAGAGGTGTTAAAAATGTCTCTCCATGTTTTCTGCAGCTATGGATGAATGGATGATCACACAAGCATGCACAGAGCCCCCTGTGCTTGAAAAGCTTTTTTTAAATTCTCAGTAACTTTTACACTGTGAAAGAATGAATTTTAGAATCAAGCTTCCCACAGATTTGGAACAATTACATGCCAATGGAACAAAGATTTATCAAATATATCTTGTTTAAGATATTAACAAATTATGAAACACACATTTGGATGTGGATGGTATCAGTCAATCAATCAGTCAATCATGGATGGTAGTAGGCTTCAATCACAAACAGCAGTCTGTGTTGTCAGTCACCCTGACCTTGTCTCTAAAGGACAACACGCAGTAGTGGCGTGGGATGCGTGTCAAAATGCCAGCACTCGTCGTTTTCTATGCAAGGCCACAATCTAATTGCATGCTCTGTTGTAGTCATCTGGGATATGCCCCTGTCCTATTTCCCGGCCTTGATATGCATCAACTAGTCAGAAAAGCAGCAGTTTTATTACAAGTGCCTCACAGATCGGCACATCTCGGCTGCTGCACCTCGACAGATTCTTTTGTCCTCATGTCCTGTTCGATGTGTGTGTGGATCTACAACAAAGTCACTCTACTTACACCTTGTTCTCACAATCACAAACATAAGCATAGGTCAGTCTCATTTTACATGGGGATACTGGCCACTGAATATTTTATCAGATCCCCTCTGTGAAATAGCAACAGTGCTGGTGTTGGTCAGTAAGCAATAGAGATTGCTAATCTAAGGATTGCTCCAAAGTCACCAGTTGACTTTCACGTTTTATGCATGAATAGATGGAGAGAAAAGAGGATGAATGATGAAAAATTGTTTTGTGACTTGTGTTTCTGAATTCATTCAGCTGTTCAGTGGTGTAGTGGTAAAGCCTTATATGAGGGCTTAACAACAAGGGGGCACTTCAGGCTAGTAAATCTAACAGCTTACTTGTCCGATCGGGCAAGTGGTAAAAAAGAAACAGGTTGTTTTTTCCAGAGCTGATGATGAAAGTAGTTAGGGAGTGAGCGATCTCGCTTCCTTCCCTACTCATCTCATCTGCACATGTGCATTACCGCTCAGGCATTCTTGAAAAATTGGCAGCACTTAGAAAGAAGAGTTGAGTTCAGAAGTGTTAGAGGATGTAAACAAACTATGTATTGTGCAGGTTGCCATAAAGTTTGAGGGCAAGGCAGATCAAATTGTATAGTTTTTCAAAAGCATGTCAAGTTTAGGAAAATGTTGAACCGACAGCATCTTGCCTTGCAGACAAGAGGGTCTGTTGTTACTTGGCTAATAAATAAAACAATTTGTATAGGGGCAAGTAAAAATTGACTTCAGCCCGACCGGAAAAACATTGCTTATATGCAGAAAGACATTTTCAAACACTGACTTCACAAATGTGAGTTTGTGCCTCAATATAGGCTTAAGGACAAGTTGGATTTCTGTAAACATTCGACAATCACAAAACAAGATATATATCAGAGGAACAAACCAGGACAACAAGTTCTACACCAACAGGAGGGAGAAACCGACCAGAATACAATGCAGCAGCAGCACAAATGACCTGCTTTGCTCTAAAATCTTATACTACCATTATCATCTCTACTGCTCTCTCCACGTACGACTACCACAGCTGCATGCTCTGGAGGTCCAGAGTCACTCTGAGGCAGGCGAGGTTGATTCGGCAGAGAAAATACATAACAGCAAAACAGCAAATGTTATAAAGCATACGTCCTAGAAACACCCCGAACAGACGGATGTCAAACGTATCCGCAAGGAGATGTTCCCTTTAAAAAAAAAAGAAAGATGAGAGAAAGGGTGGAAATAAAAGGCTCGTCAAGGGTCACTGCACCGCTGACTCAAGATGCTGTAACTCCATACGGAGGAGTAGATGGACAGATACCGGCAGATGTAGAGATGGAGTGATGGACAGGATTTCGCGGATGGATGAGCAGGTGGTTATGGGTCTTCATCCTTATGTCATTTTCTCCTTTATGAGAATGTAAGAGATTTTACTGATCATGCTCAGGCTGTGGCCTCGAGCAATATCTGAGATCTTTCTCCCGCCTGTGAGCCGATGTGCAGCCTCAGCTCCTCCTCAGCCTTGAAGACCACAGTCGACCCAGCTTTTAGCTTTTTTGCCTCTCTATTCTTATTTTTCTGCTTGTTCTTGGACTTGTGTTCACTGATGTTACTTTTTGTGAAAAGAACTGTAGCACTTTAAAACCAGACCTTAAATAAATAAAGTGCTTTATCAATCAAAGAACATAGAAAAATATGTAAAATCATACAAAAAATGAAGTTGCCACAAATAGAGGGGTATATGGACAGGCAAATGGATGTGTGGGGAGCTGTTACAAAGCTGGGAGGCAGCTGAAGGTCATTTAGCTGCTGTGTCTTACACAGGGAGATGGAGAGATATTGTTGGAATTCAGTCAGAGGGATAGATGAACAGAAGATAGAAAGCTGGAGTGTTTTTCAAAGATGAAGCCTGTAGGCTGGATGCATACATTCACAAGTCACAGAGCCTTCAAAGGACAGATACAGAGTAATTCTATTGGGTTTTGGGGTTATAAGGAGGATGGATTTCTAAGTCACAAAGAATAAAGCCTTTACTTCATGACTTCAAATAAGGAACATATCCAAAGCGGAAGTGTATCTGTATATATGACGTGTCCTAAATCTAACCCTAACCCTAAGACTGGGGAACAAAGGACCCTGCAGACATAGGATCCTGGGTACATGGCAACATGGGACCCTGGAAACATATGACCCTGGAAACATAGGGCTTAAGTTCTGTAACCACAGAAACCTAACCCTACCCTTAATCCTAACCGTAGGACTGGGGAACAGGACCCTGAAAACATAGGACCCTGGGAACATGGCAAAACAAATGGCCTATTTTAGCACAACTAAACCCTTTTCTTTACTGCCTCCGAAGTGCAAGGCATCTAGGATTAAACCCCGATGTAATACACAGTATGTCATGTACAAGAATATAGTCAAAAGTTTGACTTTATATGATTGACTGCTGATCTTTGCTTTACTGATCTGAATCAAAGATTCAGAGATTCAGGAGTTCAGTTTTGGTTTTAAAAGGTTTCATCCAGCTGGAATAGGAGCCGACTGGAGGTTAAATCCAGAGTGCACCTTCAACATATGCTTTTAGACCTTCAGCCTCCACTGTTTAACTGAAAGAGGAAGATCAATACTCCTACAGGTCTGACTGTGTGTATGTACTCTTGCACTTCTATCTTTGTGAGGACAAGTTTGAGTTTTACAGCGTCAGAACAGAATTTCAAATATCGTACAGACAAAATGACTCATATAGTGCTGGCCTACCAATGGAAAAAAATATTTGTTTTGTATCATGTATTACTGCTGTCATTTCAACTAACTATTACTATAACTATTTTATTAAATGTACTGCATTTTTGTTTATTAGTTAGACACATTGAGTTTCCTCAGCTTAGATATTTGGCTTGAAAATGATGAAGAACGCTAAATGAAACCAGAAACTCTAGTTATTGTAACTTCAAAGGTTTTACAGTACTGGGCAAAGTTGATTTTACTTTAAGTACAAATAATTACACTTTTAGTGTACAGAACTTAAATTGTTACTTCCAATCTGTTAGCATTCAAGTCAGTTTCGCTCAAACAAATAGTTTAGTAGTTTCTCCATTATCAATGAATGAACTTCTCTGGATTAACAGAAATACTTAAAAATAGACTGTTGTCATGGATAGAAAAACCTCTTAGAAACCCAGGCTGAGTGCTGGTAGTAAACAGGACCCAACCCATGGCCTTCTGTGTTAAAGTCTAGTTGACCCAATCCATTCCCGACCTCCTCCTCTGAGGGGTTTGATTGTGTAACATCACAACAGTACTTCTTCTTTTGCCACTTCGAGAGGGCAGTCAACTCAACAGGTCCTCCAAATTGTAATTGCATTTTCTGATCTGATGCCCCCATCTGCAGAATATTTTTTCTGTGCCTTCCAAAACCATTACAAATCACTGTTGAAAAATAAATGTGTTTTAGGTTATGACAACACTATGGTTAGGGTATGGATGGGTTCAAACAACGTGGTTCGGGTTAGGGAAAGGATGCAAGGACGAGATCGTTTTGATGGTTTTCTGAAATGACTGCCGTTTATCTTGGGGGGGGCAGTCTCAAGTAATTTCACTCAAAAGTGCAAGAGGTCAGGGGAACAAAAACATTGTTTAAACAAAGCACCAATGGTGTCATCTTTTCTATAGTGAGAACAGACATGTTGTCCCTCCTCACCTCTTCAAAGAGTTGTTTTGAGGGTTAGAGGTAGAATTAGTTTAGTTTTGAATTAAGAATCGATCCAGGGAGAACATATTAACTGTTGCTCCCTCAGAGCTTTATTGTATAACCTCCACTGCCCGTTCTCCATTCCCTGTTTCACAATCAGAGATGGAGTGTCTCTATTCAGCGTGGGGTGGCATTTAGCTCGCTACTCCATCCCCCTAATTGTCAATTATTCTCAGAATATGGAGCTTGGCCACTTCGGCCAGGCTGGAGCCATCATTAAGCTGCATGGCGTTGCAAAAAAGCATCACGGGGACGATGTACGGCCATGCCAGCAGCCCCAACGGGTGGCATTTAAAGGAGCAATCAGCCACGGCGCTGCATGTGTATGTGTGTGTGTGTGTGTGTGTGTGTGAAATAGTCACATGGCAATCAGCCTGAGTGAGACTCCTCAGCCGTTTATCACTGTTTATTAGACTGAATATCTCACATGAAACAAATGAGCTTGACCTTTCACGAATGAGTCGCCTTTTCTTCTGCTCGAGAATATGATAAACAACCTGAAATGGCGCAGAGATGAGGAGTGTCTGTAGATGGAGAGAGGGAACGAGGGAATACAGAGGAGAGGTGCGAGCCCAAGCCAGGATCATCAGTCATAAACCCGCCTGCGG